TGCTTGCCCTCCCGCTTTTGTCCCGACGAGGGGGACATGTCACGGGGGGGGAAGAGGTTGGAGCTTCACCCACGAGCACGGAGAGATGCCCAAAGGGTGTTGGCAGAGTTTGGGTGACAAGGTAGGGCAGAGTGTACATCAGGCCCCCCGTATGCGCCACACGGCCAGCTGGCATGGCCACAGGCTGCCCTGCGGCACAGCTGGTGGTGGGCAAGGCAAGGCGGGGGAAAACCACCCCGGCGGAGACAGCGAGCAAGAAACAGAGCGTGGGCCCTTCGCTCGGGCTCAGCAGCGGCGTGTGCTTGTCCTGCCTTGTTACGTGCTTGCTTGCTGTAATAATATTTCCCCTTTAAGGCTGGGCTGAAGTTATTTATACTTGTGGGGTGGTGACAGGAACACAGAGCGGAGCAGGAGCCCTGAACTGCTCTTACCTGATCTGCGGCGGAGGGGCGGCCAGAGGAGGAAGGAAGCTCAGAAAAAGAGAGGGAGCAAGAGAAGGGAGTCCAAGGGAGGGGAAGAGAAAGCAGGCAGGGCATCCCTGGGGAGGGACGAGGGAGGGGACCAGACGGGGAAACAGAAAAAGGGGGGAGGAGGAAGGAGAGGAGTAAGGAGGGAGAGGTCCTCAGGGAAAAGTAAGGGGCAGAGCGGCTCCAGGGAGCCAAGGGGCCGCCGGTGTCCGATGCCAAGCGTCGCTGAGGGGTGCTGAGCAAGTACAGCCAAGCAGAGCAGCTCTTGTGGTCTCCTCCCGGCTCTCAAGATGATGAAGAGGCAGTTTAATCGGATGCGGCAGCAGCTGTCCCATCCCAACATCACCAGCCGGTAAGGACTTCTCCGCTACCTGTACTGGAGGGCTGGGTGGGAGCGGGATGTGTGTCCCGGAGGGCTTGCGCCGGGACTGCACTGACCTCCCAGAGCCAGTGGCCAGGGAAAAGGGGAATGACCCTGGGTTTAGAGCATCTTCAGTGTAAGCCAAGGGGCTGTGGCACCCCAGCTCCCCGGTGCCCACAGGGCAGCGGGAAGGCTGCACTGGTGCTGCTCAGCAGGGACATGATCCCCAAGCCCGGCTACCTCTCCCAGGGCCCACAGATGTTGCGTCCACCTGGAAGCAGGCCTTTCCTGAGCTTAGCTTCCCCAGGATGTGAGGGCAATGGAGAGGGACCTTCCAGCCACATGCCCGTGGCTGTGCAGTGACCAGGAAGGTGTTAGGAGCTGGGACCTGCCCTCCCCACTGAGCCTGGGGTGCCCCATGGGAGCCAGATGCCCTGCATAGCTCTAGCCAGCCTCGCAGTACGGGCGACCCAGGATACCCTTCAAGGAGAGGACTGAGGATCCTCGGAGGACCCATGGAGGACTTACAGCTTCACACAAATCCCTCCGGACCCATCCTACCTCCGCCGCTTCCTTATTTTTCTCTCTGGCTTTCCAAAGCTCTCCCCTTGCAAAACCCAGAACTGAAATTACAGGGCTGGGCCCTCCCTTCCCAGCCCCCTCACTCCCTCTTTCCTACAGCCACCTCCACAGGTTCCCCAGCCCTGGGAAGCTGAGCAGAACCAGCCGCGTCCCCTGGACCACTGAGGTCCTTCAGCCAGACCAGCAGACCAGCCACAGGGAAGCAGCTCCTACATCCTGGTGGCCTCTTGCTCTTCTTGCGTTCCCTGGAGGGGAGCATGATTCCCTTTCCTATCCCCCTCCCTCAAGATGTCTCATCTCCATGTTGGATGCACCTCCCTTTTGTTTAATGCTTGGCAGGCAGGAGGTCTCAAGCAGCTTGTGCAGCCCAAGAGCAAGCTCTTCACCCGCTGCAGAGCCTCTCCTCTGCAGGCTGCGATCTCACGTGATTTTGCTTGCCTTCAACCAAGCCGCCCCCGTTTCCTGCGGCTCCACGGCCTCGTCCCGCGTCGGCTCTGGCGGGTGGTGAAAAGAGAGAAACATGAAAAAGCAGCAGCAGCAGAGGAAAAGCAAACGGGGTTCCCGGGGCATAGCAATAGCAGCAGACCATGAAGCTAGGTGTCCTTTATGGGAGGCATCAGGGAGGTTTGGTGGTGATGGCAGCTGGTAGGTTTTGAATTTGGTTTTGAGCAGAATTTGCTGCAAACCAGAAGTTCCCTTTGCCAGATTTGCTCCTAATACCTGCTGCAAAACCGAGCAGTCAGCTGGTTTCATGTAGGCATTTCTGGAGGGGCTGGTGTTGGTCTCAGTCCCCAGCTTGACCAAAAAGATATCCTCGCTCTGGCACCGGTGGCCCCACACCTTCTGGCTACACCCTGGCCTGCAAAGACACCTGCCGGGCCCCAGCAGCACTGCCCTGGATTTGCCTTCAGGGGAGAGGCAGGCAGTCAGGGGTAGAAGGTTTCACCAGAAAACATCCCACCCCTGCCATGGCCCCGCTAGGCACCCTGTCTCCAAAAAACAGGCCACATCTGGATGTTTTAACTGTGGTGCTCTGAACTGGAAGCCCTGCCTGATGGGGTGTCCGCCAGCCAGCAAAGTTGGCTGCCTTGCCCTGCTCCTGCTGCTCTCGTCTCCCTGGGCTCATTCTGCCCATAGGCTTGTGTACAATGGTCCAGGCCTTAGCCAGTGTCTTCTGTTCCCCGGAGCCCAAAGAGAGGCGGCTGGGATGCATACGGGCCTGCCTTCCCGAGGAGGCTGGGTGGAGGTCACCCCCATCTGCTGATGGCTCTTTCTCCTTCCTCCGCAGAGCCCAAGAAGCAACCGAGCTTCTGCCGGAAGATTTGCTGCAGGTGAGGGGCGGGCTGGGCCGGCAGACGTGTGCCTGCTTGTGCCTGGGTGTGGGAACCTGCCCTGCTCCTACCTGCGATTTGCCCTGCCGGCACATCCCAGTCACGGGGCTGGGATCTGCCCGTGTGCCAGAGGGTGACTCCAGGACCACGGCGTTAAGGGGATGGCAGGCTCCTGCCACGGGAAAGGGCTTCCCCAGCTGCTCACAGAGGGATGAATCCTGACCAGGAGCTGTGTTCCCTTTTCCCTGGACCAGGGATGCTCTGGGCTGCGGCGGGATGCTGGGTGGGCTCACCCACGCCCAGAGCTGGGTAGTGGGGAGATGGCCTCAGGGCGCCCACGGTTAGTGAAAGGTCTTCCCCAATCCCACCTTTCTGCCCCCAGATCGAGCAGAGGATCGAGCCGGCCAAGCGAGCAGCTCACAGTGTGTCCAAGAGGCTCCAAGCCTGCCTGCAGGGGCAATGCGGCTCCGAGATGGACAAGCGAGTGGTGAGTGGAGTCCTCCCTCCTCCCTCCACAGTCTGCGCTTGCCCTGGCTCCTGGCCCTTCCCCACCAGCAAAGGGAACGCCAGGCCCCTGCTTTGCAGGCTTTGCCAAAGGGTGGCCCAAAGCCCAGCCCACATTCCATCTCCAGCAGTGGCCACCAGCAGGTGCCCAGGTAGAGCAGGGCAGGACAACCCTCTCAACCATCACTAACTTGAGGCCTCCTGGGACAGAGATGGTGTTTTTGCATTGAATAACCCTCCAAAGCACTGTTGCTCATGTCCCTTCCTGAACCCCTGTGAACCTCTGGCACCCATGGTGCCCTGCGGTGAGGAGCACCACAGCACAGCTGGGCACAGTGGTGCCACCACTTCCTCCTCCTTGGTTTGAACCTGCCACTCTCTTCCCGGCTGGTGCTCACCAGCCCTCATCTGGGAAGCAAACAGTGGATCCCCCTGCACTTTCCTTAGCCCCCCCATCATTTTGTGGGCTTCTCTCTTCTTGGCAGCCTGACAAGCCCCAGCTTGGCTTAATTATTCTAGGTCATTAAACTGCTCCATACATTTGAAGCCGTGGCAGGGCTGGGCTTGGTGATGGCCTCCATCAGTGTCACAGTCCACCACAGGGGACTATTTTAGAGAAGACCGGAGGTTTTCTAACCAACTATGGAGCCTCGGTGCCTTGTTTAGCTAACTGGATCCTGGCTTTGGCTGAAGAAGACATCCAAAGGGCCCTGTCTCAGGCCCCAGGGCCAACGGGGTTGGGTGGGCCAGGGGAAGATGTGGGGACCCACCACAGGGTTTGGCCACTTGCTCCCATGCCATGGTGGCATGCTTCATGGGGAGGGAGCTGCCACACGCCAGCTCACCATCCCTCTCCTGAATCCTTGGCTCTGTGCAGAAGAAGCTGCCCTTGATGGCTCTGTCCACGACGATGGCTGAGAGCTTCAAGGAACTGGACACAGAGTCCAGCCTTGGGTAAGTGCCGGTGGGACAAAGGGACGGGGGCAACCCCGAAAGATGTTGGGGTTGAGCCACTGTCTTGGCTCAAGGGCTCCCACAGCCAAGCTGAGCTGTCAAACCCTGTCCTCAGAGCAAACGTTGGTGTCGCAGGAGGAGAAGGAACAGCCAACGCCTTCAGCCTCCAATTGTAGAGGGGGCCAGGAGCTGGCTCAGTGTTCCACATGGATATGGGTATGGTGGGGGTTGTTGGGTCGAGGGTAGCATGCCTCCAGCCCTCAGTCATTTCATCTCTGTCCCCCACACAGGAAAGCCCTGGAGATGGGCTGCTGCATACAGAGCTCACTGGCCAAAATCCTGGCCGAGTTCGAGATCACCCTGGAGCACGACGTCCTGCAGCCGCTCAACAAGCTCAGTGAGGTAGCCCTAGCTGTCCTCCCGGCTCCACTCTTCCATCCCACCACCCCTTCCCACATCCCCAAGCCTCTGCAACTCCCTCTGGCCCCTCTCTCCCACAGGAGGAGCTTCCCATCATCCTGAAGCGCAAGAAGACCCTCCAGAAGTTGATCTCTGACTGGAACACCATCAAGAGCCGGTACGGGGCACACCGTGGCGGGGGGGGGCGGCACAGGGCACATGGGGCTCAGCCCCCAGCCAGGCTGGGGGAGAGAGGAAGATGACTGCCCTGGGGAGCAAATTTCCCAGGGCTGGAGGTGAAGTCAAAGAGGCAACAGGTCTTCGGGAGCGCCCAGCCAGTCCCTCTCTGTGGGTGCATCCTGCTCTGGGCTGAGCCGCTGACTCCGTGGCACAGGAGAGAAGGGCAGTGCCATCGCCGAAGGCAGCAAAGTGCCCTGGTGCTGCTGGGTGCCACTGAGATCGCACCACTCTGACTTTTGCAGGGTAGCCTGTGCCGTGCCGGGTTTCTCTGGGAGAGTGGGGCAGCCGTGGGTCGCTGGTGGCTCGTTTCCACACTGCCCTCCCTTTGGCTGGAGGGAGGAGAGGAGGGAACATCTCAGGAACAGGGCTCGGGAAGGGTCCTACAGACCCTGGGTGTTTCAGGCAGCCGTGCTGAGTGCTCCCTGTCTTGACCAGGTCGCACCCATTGGTGCGGCAGCGTCTTCCTCTGGGGGAGGGAAGTGAGAGGTGCTGGCCAAGGAAAGCCACCACAGGGCAGTACTGTGACTTGCCGTCCCCCCCTGCAGTCCCCATACCCCTTCCACACACCAGTCCCACCCAGTGTCCCTGGCGCTGAGGCTGTGGGTGTGCCTCTTCTCTCCCCTCCCATCCCAAAGGCTGAACCAAGCTGCCAAGAGCTCCAGTAACAGCTCTGGTGCTGGTGCTGGCCCCGGGGCGTCTTCTGCTGCCAACAAACTGGAGATCTTGAAGGAAGAGGAGGAGGAGGTGAAGAGGAAGGTGGAGCAGTGCAAGGTGAGAACATCACTCGGTCTCCCCGACGGGGCAGCTCCAGGGCTGGAGACCTACTCCAGAAGCTCCATCTGAGGTGACCCCACGCCAAGACAGATGCAGCCAGCTGGCACGTCCTGCCCTCTGCAAGCAAACTGGTCCCTCAAGGAGCAAAAATAGGGAGATTCCCCAAGCCCAGGGAAGAAGAGTAGTAAAGGATTCGAAGCTGCTGCAGAGAGGAGGCTCCAGGGGCTAGAGCAGGGAGATTATGAGGTGCCCTCGGGCTGGGAGCCAGCCAAGATGGGGTCTGTGCTGGGTGGCAGGGGACTTTCACATCAGCTTTCTCCACCTCTGCCCTGTTTCCCTGAAAAGCCCGACGCCTTGTCTGGCAGATCCCATGGATCAGCTGGAGCTGGAGGTGCAGGGACCTCTTGTCCCTGAGCTTCTTGTGCCAGGACCCTGATTGTAGGGCAGGTTGCTGGTGCTACCCGAATGCAAGCGATGAGGGCAAGGAGGAATCCCCATGTGGTCCCAGCCTGCCTCCCCACTGCACCCCAGACACCCTTCTGGGTGACTCATGGCCCAGATGGGGGCTTTGTGAAGACACCCCCTCTTCCTTGGGTGCCAGGGAGGAGGTGGAAGGTTGCTTTTCCCTGTGTCTCCCTTCTCAGGACGAGTACATGGCTGACCTCTACCACTTCTCCACCAAAGAAGACAGCTACGCCAGCTACTTCATCAGAGTAAGTCCTCTCTCGCATTCCTCCTCCACATGTGAACACCCCCTGGGGTATGTGTGAGCCCAGCCTTGTCCCCATCTGCACCGAGCCCTCCGGCCAGGGCAGGGGACAGCCCCAGGCACGAGCAGATGCCCAAATCTGGCCTTGCTCCATGCACTGCGGATGCATGTCACCACTAGCACCAACTGCAAACGGAGTGGCTTGTTCCGATGACACCCCCCCCATCTCCAATCTGCCCTCTACCCCTCACTATAGCGACAGTCCCATGAACCCTGGGGGGGTTCCCCTTGCAGCTCCCCCTTCGCCCTGTCTCCATGTGGCTGCGATGTCCTGGGGATGGGGGTATCTCCAAGAAGGGCCAGTGCTGAACTGAGTGCTGTTTGTGCGTTTCCTGCCCGGCAGCTGCTGGAAATCCAAGCCCAGTACCACCGGCAGTCTCTGGGATCGCTGGACTCGGCTCTGGCAGAGCTGAAGGAAAGCCACAGCCAGACAGGTACCCGCCGGCCCTCCACGCAGCCAGGGGAGAGGCGCGGCCGGGGGAGAGCCGCAGCCGAGCCCGGGGGATGCGAGCATGGCTGGTGAGGCTGGGAAAGGCAGGTTTTCCCTCCTTGTGCCTGCTGCTGCCTCCCACATTGGGCTGATGGGATGGGGACTGCAGCGTGAGGCGGGCTGGGGATGCCGCCTGCTTTGCCTCTGCTTCCACCCAGCCAGCCCTGGCTCGGAGTGAGATGTTGGCGTGGCTAGATGCCATATGGCCCCAGCAGCCGCTGTCTCTCCTGACATTCACCTCCCTCTTCCAGAGCCCTCCTTCACTGCAGCCACCCCCGTGG